GCAAATTAATCTAGGGTATCAGAAGTCAGAATAGTAGTTATCTTGAGAGAAGGGTAGCTGGAAGGCAAGGGGCATCTGAGTTACTAGTGATGCCATTTCTTGGTCTGTGTGCTAGGTACATGGGCATTTTAAGCTGGTGATGCCAATAAGCTAATTAATTTGGCACTTTTCTCAATTTTATTCTTTTCTTAAAAATTACATTTATTTGCCAGGTGCTGGTGATGCATGCTCTAAATCCCAGCACTTGGGAGGCAAAGACAGGTGGATCTCTCTGAGTTCGAGGCCAGCCTGGTCTACAGTGTGAGTTCCAGGACAGCCAGGGCTACATAGAGAAACTCTGTCTCAAAAACCAAAAAATAAACGATAAATAAATTACATTTATTTAGTTAACTATGGCAAGGGAAGGAGGGAAAGCCAATATACCTGGTATGCATATGGAGGTCAGAGGACAACCTGCACAAATGGCTACATCTCTTTCCACCACGTGGGGCCCAGAGATCAAATTCGGGTCGCTGGGCTTGGAGACAAGTGCCCTAATGTGCTGCCATCTTTCCAGCCCTCGACAGAAGTTACTCTTCAGCATCAAGTCTCTTAACAGAGACTGCCTGGCATCAGGACAGAAGCCTCCCTGATCTTGGCAGGCGCCTTCTCCCCTCCTCTCACGCCCAGCTCCACATGTTTCAGAACCTCAGCTTCTGACCCTAGCTGCTCACCGTCCATCATAAGCGACACCTTCCTGCTGATGCAGTAGGGAGGTGAGAACACTCGCTCTGGGTAACCTAGGAACACAGTGCTAGGAGAGGAGGTGACTAGAGGTTTGAGACCTGCTCCCCTGACACAGTGGAAGGTGACAGAGGGCAGTCTTCAGCAACCAGCCCTCCCCCCTGCTAAGCAAGGAAGGCAGCTGGCTGGGCTCCAAACCCCAGTTCCCTGCCCTTCATTCCTCCGAGGCAGATTTATGGGGCACTGCAGAATCCCCTTGGGCTATGGAAGCAGCCAACCAGGACTTACATTCTGGACTCTGCTGATTCTGCTCCAGAGACTCCATTTTACATCTAAGGGGAAGGTACTATCACCTGCTTTGCCAGGTAACCATAGCACTAAAGAATAGCTCACACCAGACTGAAAGCTTCCTAAAGGCAGGTACTTATATTCACTCATTGTCAGATACGCTTCTAGAACAGACTCTGAAACATTCAGATCTCGGTTACATGTGTGCGGAAAGGATAACCTGTAACTCCAAACTAAAGGTGGGGTTTTTGACTAATAGCTGAGCTAAACACACCATCTTGAAACTAACCCAGGCTCAGTCATGTTCGTTAGTGAAAGCTTCCTATGGTTAGCTTCCAGTCTTACTCAAAGGCTCCTAAGAATTGGTCGATACTGCTGAGGGGGTCCCAATTAGGGCCTGAGTGTCTCTGATCAATGTCATGAAGCTGTTTCTCTCAGTTGCTCAACATCAAGGATGGGTAGGCGGCCGTGGCTCCTCATCTCTGACCACTACATTCCTACCGCCTCTTTCCTCTCCTTTGTCTCAGCTCTCAGATCACACAGGACTACGGATCCCCACTGGGAGGGGCCAGAAGAGGGCAACAGCCCTGTTCTCTTCCCTTCCAGATTAACTTCTCTAGTCAAGCTCCTAATACTAGGACCCCGAGAGACTGAATCCTGTGGAGAAGTGTTTCTGGAAAATCCTACAATAAGAAAATCTGACTATCCAGGCATGGTGGCATACGCCTTTAATCCTAGCACTCGGGAGGCAGAGGTAGAGCAGGGGGGTCTCTGTGAGTTGGAGGCCAGCCTGGTCTAAATGGTGAATTCCAGGCCAGCGAGGGTTACATAGTGAGACCCTGTCTCAAAAAAACCTGAACAAACAGGGCTGGAGAGAAGGCTCAGATATTAAAGGCTAGGCTCACAGCCAAAAACAACAGCCAACCAAACAAAGAAAAGACTTCGAACTCATGGGAGTAGGGACCGTGACCGGTGGCTATGAGATACGAGACCCAGCGTTCATTCTTATTATGCCTCCCACACAACATGGGTCAGAAAATTCTTCACGTTCTAGATGGGCGCTGCAACAACGACCGTGGTAAAATCACAACCACTAGAGTTCCTGTTGTAAAATGGGTTGGCCAGCCGGGTATGGCAGAGGCAGGACAATCTCTCTGAGTCCAAAGTCAGCCTGATCTACACAGTTCCAGATTAGCCAGGACTACCTAATGAGACCCTAATCTTTAAAAATGGGGTGGGCGGGGGCAAAAAATAGACTGATCTTCACAAAGATTGTCTCGATGTCTTCCAGTGGACCTCCTGGGCCTTGGGCGGGTAACAGGAAGTAAAGTTCTGTCTGGGAGCCTCAAAGATGTTCATGAACTGTCAAACAAATTAAACCGAGGAAGCCGCCCCTTTGTCTCTCCACCTTTAAACCTCTGGCAGGGTCTGGCTATGGGGTTGCTCAAGTCCCAGCTCCAAGATTAAGACCTCAAAGTGTTTAATATTCACCTTCCCTGCTTCAAGGGAATGTTAGGGGGGTAAAGCAAGCTCGGAGCTGTGCTAGGGCTTTGAAGAGGAAGGTGCACACACAAACAAGGTGCTAATTATACCAGATCTTTCTTTTGAGCTCGACTTCACAGCCGCTTATAATATCCATAACCCAGGGGCAAAGAGGGATTGTAATATGGAAAGTATTGTTTGCCTGGCCAAACTTGAGGGTTTGTATGTACCCGCAGGATAACCCCTTCAACCTTGTCAGATCCAAGGACGTTGATGTTTTATGAAGGGGGACTGGGGAGGACTACTCAGCAGGTGAAGACCATGAAGAAATATACTGGAGAATAAGACAGATATTTTTGGTGTTATTAGGGAGTTTCATTTTAAAATTTAGTTTTGCAGGGGCTGGAGAGGGACCAGTGGTTGAAAGCACTGGTTCCTCTTCCAGAGGATCCAGGTTCAATTCCCAGCACCCACAAGGCAGCTCATGCTGTCTGCAACACTCCCAGGGTGCCTGAGACCCTCATACTAGTGCACATAAAATAAAGCTAAATACATTTTAAAAAATTAGTTTTGCAGTGTTAAGGATCAAACCCAAGGCCTCATCCTGCCACTGAGCTATACCCACAACTGTATTTATTTACCTTCTTTAAGAGATGGAACCTTGGGCTGGAGAGATGGCCCAGTGGTTCAGACGGTAGTCGCTCCTGGAGAGGACTTGGGTTCAGTTCCTAGCACTCATATTGGGTGGCTTATGAGCCCTGTACCTTCAGTTTCAGAGGACTGATGCCCTCTCCTGGCCTCTGTGGGCACACGTGTGGTGCACAAACATTCATGCAGATGTGTGCACACACACATAGATAGGGTACTCAGTTGACTCAGCAGGTGAAAAAGCTGAAAACTTGAGCTCAATCTTGGGAAAACCACGGAGGGGAGAATAGACTCCTGAATGCACCCCGGTCACAAATAATAAATATTGTTGTTTTGCTTTTTGAGATAGGGTCTTACTGTGTCGCTTTGGCTGTCTTGGAACTGGCTCTGTAGACCAGGTTGGACTCCGAACTCAGAGATCACCTGCCTCTGCCTCCTGAGTGATGAGATCAAAGGCATGTACCACCACACAAAATAATTTTTTTTTTTTAAAGAGAGAGGATTTTGCTACCTTTTCTGTGTTGGCCGTGAATTCCTGGGGCCAAGGGATCCTATCCCAGCTTCTGGGGTAGCCGGGACTACAAGCATGCCATCCAGCTTGAAGAGTTTCAACTTCCTAGCATCATATGGGCCCAGCAGCTTTTTCTTACTTAAAACCCAAAGTGACTTCCCATTTCCGGGGATATCTACCCCAAGAGCCAGGGAAATCAAGGTGTGTTAAGAACATTAGCCCACTCTTTGTTTTATAAACTAGGTGCATTCTTGGCACAAACCTATCGTTTTCACAACTGTAAACCAGACATTCGAGAAAACAAAATTTCCTTAGTTTAAAAAAAAAAAGTTTTAAAATTCGTGACATCACCGGGAAGCACTGGCCAACTCAACCATGTAATCAAAAACCTGATCAGCACTTGCCCGCAACCTGGAGCCAAGTAAAGTGACAGCTAATCTGATATATATTTTGCTTCGGTAAGGAAGATAAGACACTCACAACTCAAAGCCATACCTGCTCTCAGAATACAGCAGAGAATGCGATGGTGGGGGCGGGGAGATGGATTTGGCAGAGGTCTGGTTAGCCATAGTGCTTCCTCAGGGAGCCGGAATTGGATTTGGGGCCCTGCCCAAGTTAACATTTTTACAGGTTGGCTCAGTTGCAGTTTCTTAGCCCGCCAGTAATAAACCCATGTGCAAGAATTTAAACTTTATGAGGCATGGCCTCTTAATGCCTGCTCTCCGGCTCCCTACAGCCAAGCCTTTAAGGAACCTTGCCTAGCCTGGGTGTTAATTATTTTGTCAATCTGCAGAGTTATTTGAGCAAAGTTTTTTGTTTGTTTAAGGAGTTCTATAGACTCAAGGGCCTCACTTTTTGTGGAGAAACAAAGGAGAGTCATTCTGCCCTTAAGCTTTGACACCCCCATATTCAAGCTGTGGACATGTGTACGAAGGGTGAGCGTTTGATGGAAGCAGTAAAAAAATGCTAAGTGGTAAATGTTCTGAAAGTCGTTTAAACTATAGATCCCCTCCCCAAAAAAATGCATGCAAAAGTTCTCTGGAACTTCACTCAAGGATCCCGAGTTACTCCTGGTTTAACAATGTCGGTTTGATCTACAGAGAAAAGGCCATTGTCCTCTCTGGTCAGGAGCCCCCACCAGCTGGTAGATGCTTGGGTCTCATGGCACACGGGTTCTCGCCACCAAAATGACCCTTCACTTTCAAGTTTTCAAGGTTTTTTTTTTTTTAATTTGAATGGAGAAAAGCGCAACAGAAAGATCAAAATATGCTTTGATCGTTTACTCAGACTCCTGCCGGCTTGGGACACAGATGCGCCCTCCCCCACACCCCCCACCCTGCGACTCAAGTGATCTAACATCCTACTACCAAGATGCTCGGAGTGCGGGACCTAGTGTGTCCCCTGTGCGTGATGGCCTCTGCCCAGGTGTGCCAGGCCATTCGCAGGCAGCCTGCAGGGGCTCAGGCCCTCCGGGAAGGGCAGGGTTAAGAGCGCATTCCAGCCCGGGAAGAAGGGGGGTGGGGAGGGCAGCCCAGAGAAGAGAAACAGACCCGGTCTGTCTGTCGGAGACACAAAGCACGGTTCACAAAGGGGGGCCGAGAAGGGCGAAGGGGGCTGCCCGGGGCACCGCTCATCCCCACACCTGCGAGGGGGTTTTGGGAGGAATGTGCACTGCGCATTCCTCGCCTGTGGCCGGCGCGGGAGATGTTTTCCACGTCGGGGCTGGGTGAGGGGCTCAGCCGCCAGGCACTAGGAGGTCAAGACAAGCAGCGGCTGCTGCGCAAGGAGCTGGACTTGGGTGGGTGCACCGTTGCTCAGCCTTCCCGAGTCCATCCCAGCCCGGGAGCCACTTTCTGCGCCTTCCCGGGATGTGGCTCCAGATGTCCCCAGCTCTGGTCCAGACACCCCACCGGAGGGTCACAGCAAAGCAGACCAAGTGAGATCTTCCGCTGGCTCCAGGAGGGTCTTACCTTTCCCCAGCGTTTGGCTGGGCTCCAGCTCAGTTCCTCCCGTCTCCAAGGTCACTTCAGCCTCCCCGAAGTGCACTGGGTAGGGTTCGGAGGCCACGCTTGGTAGCCAGCAAACCTGCCTCTGAGAGCAGAAGGGTTAAGAGGGAGGCTGAGTCACAGGCGTGCCCGGTTCTGCACACCCATCCCTGAGAGTCCTCCGTAGATCTCCGGAACACCCTTGGCCCCAAGGAACACAGCCCTGAGGTCCGTGCCCCCTTTTCCCGCCCCCGCCCGAGCCCTCAACGTGAGAACCCCGCCCGCTCTCCAGGGAGCAATCTGGGTTAGGACTAGTGCAAGGCACTGTGATACCTGAAGCAGGAGGAGCAGGGAGGCGAGAGACCCACTAAGGAGTCCCATGACTGGAGGGAAGTGAAGAGGCTGCCGCGACGGTAGGGCTAAGAGCCTGGTACAGTTTTGAGCACCGCGGCTCGCAGGAGCCCGCGGGAGGAGGCCAGGTGCGCTCAGGTAGCCGCTGATTGGTCCAACGTCACAAGGTCACGCCCCTTCGCAGGTGGAGCCGAGGCTAGCCTGCGGGAGGCACTCGCGTAGCCCTTGTGGACCCATCCTGGTTTCTTTCTGTGTCCTCCCTGCTCTTCTGGAACTACTCCGGAAAGGTATCCCGTAGCTCTTGCAGGGTTCTGGTTTCTCTGGAAAATAGTATAACAAAACAAAACTCCCAATCCACTCCACCTCAGCCCCTGTAGCACGAGAAAACAAATATTTCATTGCTGGCAACTACAACGGAAAAAAAGTGGAGACGCATCTGAAACCCGACCAAAAAAAAAAAAAAAGGGGCTTCCCATTCATGCTGCCGGAGGCGTTGTGTTCAAAGCTTTGGTGGAGGCAAGGCGTGTCTTCACACCAGCTACTGCGGGGTCTGCCCTCTGCCACTTTCTCTACCTCCCACGCGAGCCCTCTGGGAGCGTTGGGGATTTGAAACTGGCATCGAGGTCTCAAAGGACCGCGGTACACGATCTGATATACGTTTGAGAGAATAGATACTTCCGTTTGCAGCTGAACAAATGAAAGGAAGCAAGTAGAGAAAGCCCCAGAGTTTGGAAGCCATAGTAACTTCAAAGGGCTTGAGGTAGGGAGACGGTTAGGAGTTATTAGCCCCGTTATTTCCAGCACCCCCAATAAAAATGATTTCTTCCTCCTTGAAATGTTTCCTCAATTTGATGTTAAAAACAAACAATGGAGATGTTATTTTATCTATTATTGTTATATGTGCATATGGGCCCACTGCACACATGTGCAGGTCAGAGGAGGACTTTGAGAAGTCAGTTCTCTCCTTAGGAGTTCTGAAGTTTGAACTTAGGGCATCAGGATTGTGAGGAAAGAGCGTTGCTGCTAAGCCATCTCCGCTGTCCTACTCTCACACTGTAGTCTCCGGCTGGCCTTGAATTCACGACAAACTTTCCAGCTCAGTCTCTGAACTGCTGGGATTAAAGAGGCACGGCCTGACATGACTTAACAATGACCATTTTTAAAATCTAATGTATCTCTGGCTGGCCTTAAACTCAATATACAGCTGGGAATGGCCTTGAACTTCTGTATCTCCAGCCTCTACCTTCCTAGTACTAGGATTTCAGGCATGTATCCCCATGCCTGGTTTAGTTGATTAAGGAAATTGAACCCAGGGTTTCACGTATGCCAGACAAGCAGTTTATCAGCTGAACTACAGCCCCAGTCCCAATATTGGCAAATTTATTTATTTGTTCGTTTATTTACTAATTGATTGATTTTTCGAGACAGGGTTTCTCTGTGTAACAGCCCTAGCTGTCCTGGAACTCACTCAGTAGACCAGACTGGCCTCAAACTCACAGAGATCCGCCTGCCTCAGCCTCCCAAGTTTTACTGGGATTAAAGGTGTGCGCAACCACCACCTGGCCCAATAATGGCAATTTTAGATGTACCTTTTATTGGCCTGAAATCCTGTATATCATCTGAAAATGACGTGGTGTGTAATGCTTGTCCCTTAGAAGACAGCTTCCCTGGTTGGTCTACATTGCTCTTTCTACTATATTGGACAAGAATGGCTGTTCTTGAGGCACCCTGGGGCGCACAAGTCCCTGGGCAGGCATAGGCACCAACTGCCCTACTCCCTTGTCCTTACCCTGTAGAGTCAGCTAATCCTGCCCTGCCCTTCCACCTGTGCAGTGCCAGAGACTAAACACAAGGCCTTGTACATGCCCGGCAAGTGCTCCACCACTGAGTTGCAGCCTCGACTCTGGAGCTGAGTGGTCTGAAGCAAGCGAACTTTTTTTTTTTTTTGCCTTAGTCTCTGAGCTCTCTCCACCTCCCATTGCTCCCCAGAGAACCCCAGGATGATGCCTGAATCTACCTGTTCTTCTTTCCACAAGTCTCTGACTGAGCAATGGAACTTGTGCTGCAATCCAGGCAAGCATTGGCTTTACTTGCTCCACTGGGTAGGATTCAGGCTTGCATACCTATCCATTGGTGTATGGAACTATTTTGACACCTACCCTCTAACGTACTGTACTAGAGCCGGGAGTGGTGGTCTATGCCTTTAATCCCAACACGGGATGGGAGGCAAGATGATTACTGAAAGTTCAAGGACAGCCTGTACTACGTAGTGAGCCTGTGCTTTAAAAGCAGGTGGGTAGAATAGAGAAGACGGCTCAGTGGGTAATGTGCTTTGGTAAAGTCCTATGTTCAAATCCCCAGAACCTATGTAATATGAAAAACAGTAGCCCTTCTGTAATCTATGGAGGACTGGGAGGAGGATGGGAAGCTATCAGGCTAGTTAGTCTGGTTTATGGAGTCAAACAACAAAAAACCTGTCTCAAACAAGGTGAAAGATAGAACTGCTACCTTGAAGGTTGTCCTGTAGCCATGCACGTTGACCTCTACTCACACACATGAACACACACCACACCACCCCCACCCCACACACATACTGTACTCGGCTGTATTAGGATTAAGTGAATATGTGTGCATGAGGATTAAATAGATTAATGTGTTAAAAACGCTGAATTCGGTACTTGGCACAGAGCAAGGGCCCAGTGTTGTCGTTATTAGGGATCTAGGATGCGGCCCATTTGGCTTTCCTGCCAGCCGTTCCTCTCCTAAACAGCACCCCCATTTCCATAACTAAGAGAATGAGCGGGTGTCGGAATCCTTCAATTTCACGGCTGAGGGTACCTGGCATCTGCCATCTCTGGGATCTTCAGTGATCCGCGCAGTCCCAGCAGCTGTGGTGGGTGGAGGCTACTTGCAGGAAAAGCCCAAGGCAGCTAGCTAGTGGCCTAGCTCTCCTGCTGGAGTCCTAGGTGCTTGCCCGAGTTGCTCAACGACTCTGGCCCAGAGGGGACAGGGCGGCCCGACCTATCCTCGCCCCCAAAGTTCCCTGCGCCGGCGCGGAGCCAGACAAAGCCATTAGGCGGACAGTTAAACACAAACGAGCCTCGGGATACAGGCCCTAATTAAGTAAACACTCGGCTGGAGAGCTGTGGAGCGGGCTCATTTCCGCCGCCTTCCCGAGCACTCAGCATTCCAGCGGGGGCCCTGAGCAGAGTGGAGAAAACGGTACTCAGCTCTTCTGCGTGCTTGGATCACCACGCAGCCTTCTGACCAGCTTCCCCAGCTGGCCATTCATCAATTCATTCGTTTAACTGAATGAATTTCGGTCTTGAGTTTCAGTTAAATTTACTAATAGCCTGGAGAGGTCAGCATGGGTTATATAACAAGCTCTTGTCTCGGAAAACAAAACAGACGCCCAGAATTTGCTTCCTCCACCCACAACCAATGATTACCTGGTGTAGGTGACAGCCCAATATCCTCCCAGATAGACAAATCCTAAGACGTAATTTCACCACCGAGCTCCCGTGAAGGTCAGGCTGATGCTGCCCTCTAAGGAACTAGGACTGTGTTCACATCACCTCTTGCCCTTCTGTCTTGCTTCTCCCACTTGGTTACCAGTTCCTCCTGGGAGCACTTCATGTTCAGGTTGGCAATGTGAATCTTTATCTCAAGATTGGGTTCCTGGCTGGGCGGTGGTGGCACACGCCTTTAATCCCAACACTTGGGAGGCAGAGGCAAGTGGATCTCTGTGAGTTCGAGGACAACCTCCAAAGCCACAGAGAAACCCTGTCTTGAAAAAAAGAAAGAAAGAAAGAAAGAAAGAAAGAAAGAAGGAAGGAAGGAAGGAAGGAAGGAGAGAGAGAGAGAGAGAGAGAGAGAGAGAGAGAGAAAGAAAGAAAGAAAGAAAGAAAGAAAGAAAGAAAGAAAGAAAGAAAGAAAGAAAGAGATTGGGTTCCTGGAATCCCATCATGGGCAGAACAAGCTTGGGATTGGAGAAAGACCAAGAGTTTCTGCTTGGTGATGTCTCAGGAACCTAACATAGGTGTGATGAGGAGACTTCCGGTTGTTGTTTCATTTCAGAGGAAGTGTCTGGCTGGGGTACTCGTTTGTCACAAAGGGAATACACCTTACAGCAGAAGTACTTAGCAGACTCTGGGCCTCTGGAGCGTTCACGTCTGTATTGGCTAGCTTTCTGTCATAATAAGAAAATACCCACAACGTGCAACCTAGAAAGAGAAAGGTTTGTTTGGGGCGCTCAGTTTTGGAGGCTCCAGGCCACAGCTGAGAGCCCCCAAAGTTCTGTGCTTCTGCTAAAGCAGCACATCATGGCAGAGGTAAAAAGGAATACGAAACCCACTCACCTCCTGGCCAGGAAACAAAGAATGGAGGAGGAATGGACCTGGTGCTTCAGAACTAATCCCTAATGGGATGGGGAGACATTTTTCTTCTGTTGGGTAGCCACCTGGAAGTTCTGGTAAATCAACTTCCACTTAAGTTCATGCCAAAAACACCACCTGCACTCAGACACACTGGAAACGGGGTGCACTAGGCACGAAGAAGGGAACTGGTAGGGGAAGAAGTCGGGAGAAGGTAACGGGGGATAAATGTGTCCAAAATATATTTTATACATGCATAAGATTGTCCAAAAAATAATAACTTTAGAAGACAGAAGTCAAGGGTCCAGTGAGATGGCTCAGCAGTTAAGAGCACTGTTGCTCCCGCAGAGACCCACAGGATGGCTCTTAACCATTTGTAACTCTGGTTCTAGGAGTTTCCACACCTACTTTTGGCCTCCTCAGGCACCAGAAACACACATGGTATACATGCATGCAGGCAAGCATACACACAAAGAAAATTTTAAAAAATTAAAAACCAGAATTAATTTGGGGCTAGAGAGATGGATCTGTGTTAGGAACACTGTTTTTGCAGAGAAACTGGGTTTGTTTCCTAGCACCCTAACTACTTCCTGACATCCCTAACTCCAGTTCCAGAGAATCTGAAGCTCACTTCTGGCCTCTCTGAGCACCAACATTCACAAAATGTATATGCAGATGACAAAATATTCGTACACATAAAATGAATAAAAAATAACCCGAAATTCAAATCTGTAGCATTAACAAATCAAATATTAAATAACAAAATATGAGCATGTCTTCCCGGTAATTTAAAGAACTCTAGGTCTCTGTGTGTGTGTGTGTGTGTGTGTGTGTAGTTTTATTTGAAAGAGAATTAGTTTCACTGTGTAACCTGTATTGTCCTGAAACTCACTTTATATTCCAGGCTGGCCCCAGTCTCCCGAGTGCTGGGATTAAAGGAGTGTACGTAACATCACACCTATCCCCAGGCCCTAGCTCTTAAATATTCTATCATTTCCCATTAGTGGACCTTGGAGATCAATCCTTTAATACATGGGCCTTTGGAGACCTGTGTGTGTGTGTGTGTGTGTGTGTGTGTGTGTGTGTGTGTGTTTGCTGGGGATAAAACCAAGGGCTTTGTGTGTGCCAGACACTGTACCACTGAGTTGTTTCCCCAGCCCCCTTTGGGAGACAAAGATCTGAACTATAATACAATTTCCAACGGAGATAGCCTGCTGTACATTCTCCGGCTACATAGGGCTGGAACTATAATATCATTTCCAATGGAGATAGCCTGCTGTACATCCTCCGGCTACATCGGGCTGGAACTATAATATCATTTCCCATCCTCCGGCTACATCGGGCTGGAAGTCTTCCATTCTTTCTCCTTTTCCAGAGAATCACCCCTTCCCAGTGTTTCTTGATTGCATTTTGTTTTTAAACACTTGCCATTTACTGTGCTGTGCAGTCTCTGGTACCACTGCTTCCCTCTAAGTGTCTCTGTTGCTTTACTCTCGGCTACCTTTCTCCCTCTTTTCTCCCACCTAAAACCCTCTTGGAGACGGAGGCTAAGGCTGTCAGAATCAAACAACTCCAGACTTCCCCGCAACACCCACACAGGGAAATATGCGTGAGATTAAAGGTATGATCCACAGACAGCCTGCCTTTCCTTTACCTTTTGTGTGTGTGTGTGTGTGTGTGTGTGTGTGTGTGTTGTGTGTGTGTGTGCGTGTGTGTGTGTGTGTGTGTTCCCAGTGTTAGGGCACATGTAGTGGGCAGGTGCAAAACACAAATGCATGCATGTGGAGGCTTGAGATTGTTTGTCAGTCAGGAATCTTTCTATGGTTCTTCTGCCACATCCTTTGAGGCAGGGTTTCTCATCAAACCCCGAGTTTCCCAAAACACCTATACTTTTGACTAGCTAGGTTCCTTTGGGGATCCCATATCTTCGCCTTCCTAGGCTGAAATGTCTGTACATGTGAGTGCCTGCTACCTATGGAAGTCAGAGAAGGCCCCAGATCCCTGAAACTAGAGTTACAGGTGGTTGTGAGCTGCCAAACAGGCTCTTGACGGACTCTTTCCTGGCCCTAATGAACATCTTTTAATCATTGCTTTTTTATTTGTGTGTGTTTGTGTGTAGTGTATGTATGAGTGCATATTTGCATGTGTGTATACATATGTGCATGTGCTTTTGCTGGTACACTTGTGTGTGGAGTCCACCAGAGAAGACTGCCTAGACAGAACTGTAAACCAATAGAAAGTCACTGTTAGCAAGCTGGGGACTACACTGGATGTTTGAGATCCCAGTGGTAACCCCAAGCCTTTCAAGCACAAAAACCATATCCTGGGCTGACATACTTCAGAAGCTAAAAAGCAAGGTTAGTAGGCTTAGAGACTTTCCCAGAACTATGGACTTCGATGGGTTACATTTTTGCTTTCAATTTTGGCAGCTGGTGCTGTCTACACGCTGAGTTTTACAGCCCGAGTGGTACTTCCATCATGGAGTCAGCTGTGCTAAGCTCCGGAACCTGTTTCACTCCTACCTTTGCTGTGACTGCACAGGTCCATGTCGAGTGTCCTCCTCACTGGTTTTCCACTTCATTGTTTTTTTTTTTTTTGAGACAGAGTCTCTCAGTGAGCCCAGAGCTCACTGATTTAGCTAGGCTGGCTAGTCAGCAAGCTCTGGGGAACCCACCTCTCTGCCTGCAGTGTTAAGGTTACAGACACATGACTTTTAAGTAGGTGTCGGGGATCCAATCTCAGATCCTCATGTTTGGACATGGGAGACTTTATCTACTGAGCCATCGCTCCAGCCCCAGGCAGGAATTTTTGTCTTCTTTGTCCACTGCTAGATCCCCAGTGCATAAAACAGCCTGGCAACAAATACTCACACACTCAAATATTTATTGAATGAGTGAAACCAACACAAGCATAACTGTTAGCATCCGGCGGGGTGCTAAATGCACAGGAGAAGCAAAATCAATGTTGTTTCCCTGGCTGACCTCACACAACAGCGCTGCAGTGCATCACACAAGGGGAAGGGTCTTTGCAAAGTGCACACAAATCAAGCACATCATAGGAAAGTGAACAACCGCAGTTCCGCATTGCTCACTGCATGACAGACCTGCAGCCATGGACTTCCATGTGTGAGCTTATTCCAATCCATACAGTTCTCTGAGTAGTTCACGTGATTTATATTTCTTTTTTTTTTTCTTTTCTTCTCTTTTTGAGACAGGGCTTCTCTGGATAGCTCTAGTTGTCCTGTTCATATTTCTTAATAGTAAGAAGTTCTGTCCCCTGCCCACAGCCAGACAGCCAGGACAGAGGCAAAATCACCATCTATCTACCCCAGTTCTGCTCTCCAAAATTTGCTGCCTGACTCCATTACCAACCTGCTATTGAGAAGCATTTTCTGGAATGAACTTGGAGAGTATGTTTTGTACCCGAGAAAGAATCTTTAAATATTGGAAACTTTTCTGTTTTGCTGAAGACTGAACCCAGGGCCTTGCATACGGCAGGCCAAATAAGCTCCATTTCAAAAGAACAATCCTTTTTCTCAACTCTGAAAATAAACATATTTGACCTTGGTTCAAGGTTAAACTCTGGGTCTTCTGAGAAATATTTAGATAGAGACTTTCTTCCCATTTTTGGCAGTAAAATTCCTCAGCTTTACTTCCCCGGATCTCACTGATGGGGACATCTCAAAGACCAGGAGACATTTACCAGTAGT